TTTCTCTCTCCCGTTAAACCCGAACGTATAAAAGGAAGCCACTAATAGCAGAATTAAAAGGATCGAGATAATAATAATAATAATCCATACAGTAAATATAACTCATACAGCGCGGGGGGAGGGGATTGTTAGTAATGTGGACTAATGATCTCATTGCTAGCAATTTACCATGTCAGATTGACCTCCACGCGGTTCCCCCTGGAAACCATCGTGATAAATTCCTGGTGAATTTGTCACGTTGGGCTAACTGATCTGACTTCATGTTTATCTTATCATCCTCCACTGGTGCCCCGCCAGCGTAAACCGTTAGCGCAGGCGGGAACAACATTCCATTATCATACACTAAAAAAAAAAACTCATACAGCGCCATCTAGTCCCAAGCTAAGCAGAGCTTGTGTTATGGGTATTAGATAACTTATATAAATATTCTTATATATATTTTGTAAATACATATATATTATACATAAAAAACACCCAGACTGATATAAACAATCATACTTAGGAATACAAATGTTTGTACCGTGCGAGGAACCGAACCCGCAACCATCGATGCGCAAAACCGCTAGACCACCGACGCCACAATGCCTCTACCTATGTCACATAGTATATTAGTCATGAAGATAAGTTATAATATGGTTAGTTTAGATGTATATATATTTAGATTGGTCTCATCCAGCGTCTGTAGATCTCTTCAAGACGAGCTCGTGTCTCCGGGTCAAGGATCGCCCGCTCACATACGATTGAATTACCTATTAAAAGCAACTACATTATGACTCTTACATTCAACTGGAGACGGTCGCTTATGAAAACCGATTATATTTAATTTTAAGTGCGAACTGAACGAGGTCGGCTTTAGTTAGTCTTATTCGACGACGACCTCGGTGGTCTAGTGGTTTAGTACACCGCTTCACGAGCTATGGCCGCGGGTTCGATTCTTCGCATGGTACAAACATACAAATGTTTCAGTATGATTCTTTGTATCTGTCTGAGTGTTTTCTATGTATAATATATATAGTATTTAGGAGAAAAATATATCTACGTATATGTATCAGTTATCTAGTACCCATAACACAAGCTTCAGCTAGCTTAACTTGGGTCTAGATGGCGCTGTGTGTATTGTCCTGAGATTATTATTATTCTGTTCATACATGCAAGTGTCCTCAAATACGATTTAGCTCGTTGATGTCTTTTGTATAACGATATATTGAGTTGTTTATAAAAATGCTTTATAGTAGGACTGGCTTGTGCTCGCGGCTTCGCTCGCGTTAATTTATGCCTTTAGGGGTGGAATTTATCAAAATACTTTCTTAGTCTACGTCATAGTAGCTTTATGCAAACAAAGTCTCAGCCCGATCGGTTCAAAATCGACGAACTTTCGTCCTCTATTTTATCTCCTTGGGAGCAAAATTAATCAAAATCCTTTCTTACCGGATGCCTACGTCATAACAACTACCTGCATGCCAAATTTCAGTCCGATCCGTCCAGTGGTTTGGGCTGTTCGTTGATAGATCACTATGTCACTCACCTTTGAGTTATATATATTTAGATTAATTACAATTAATTACATTAATAATAATAGTTATTTTTCAACTTTCGTGTTTCATATATATTATATACATTATTAAATGGGTCATAACTGGAATAATTTTATAGTAAATGAAGGTATTTACCTCTCTCGACGTTTCGACTAGGTTGCACTAGCCGTGGTCACGAGCTGACTGGAGTAACAGCGATGTCAATGTAGATAGGTGACAGCAGTTTTTTCATCTACCGTCACTAGATTGTTCAATGAAAGTTCGCAACACACTCACGGTATCCGTACACTTATTGACTGTGGATGCTACTGAACTAAATTTATTTATGACTGGATTCCATGCAGATGATCATTTTTAAACCATCCTCTCTGTTGAATATGGATATTTTTTAATTTAAATCGCCACTCGTACCAATATTAGTGTTAAAACCAATCATCATCATTATGATCGCAGCCCGGAAGACGTCCACTGCTGGACATAGGCCTCCCCCAAAGATCTCCACGACGATCGGTCCTGCGCTGCTCGCATCCAATGCTTTCCCGCGATCTTGACCAGATCGTCGGTCCACCTTGCTGGAGGCCTTCCCACGCTGCGTCTTCCGGTCCGTGGTCGCCACTCGACGACTTTACTGCCCCAACGGCCATCTGTCCTACCAGCTATGTGCCCTGCCCATTGCCACTATTAAAACCAATATTATTGATATAAATATGACATGAACAAAGTGGGACATTCTATTCTGTTCATATATAAGATTCGATTTCTAGCTCGTTGATGTCTTTTGTATAACGTCATATTGGGTATTTTAAATTATGTCCTAAAATCAGATTTGAACATAAGAAAGCACATTATATGCTTGTTTTAGAAGACTACTATTTTAACTATCTGTAATTTTGATAAAAATGATGTGTTTCCTATATATTTGCTGATATCGGAGAGTCTAATAAAGTTATTACTTTCTCTGTAGTCGACTTTTACAAAGGATTCAAAGAAGCTAAAAATGTTATCTGTTATAGTATTCATTATTAGAAGAAATCTCTTTACTTTGAAGTTAGTTAAATGCATGCATATGACTGGAAATATTATAGACTTGATTGTTATTATTGCGAAATTATTTAATTGAAATATTGTAGTAATATTTCTAAAGCTTCTAACTTTACTTACGATCACAGCATTACTTGTTTTATTTTCATCTTCATCATAAAATTTTATAGGAGAATTCTGAGTCGCCTGCATTCACTATTTATTTCAATATTAATATATTTATATTCATTAACTACTTTCCATATCTATGCGGTTATGTTTTTATCTATGCTCATATTGCACAGATCAGATTAGGGCATTAGAATAAAAAAAACATGTCGGGTACATCAAATAGTTTCTGCATTCATCTACTTAGTTGTGGATTTTTATCTGCATTCAAACTACATTGCATTTGATTAGGAGCGTCGGAATCAGAAGACAACATGTCCAGTGCATCAAATAGTTCCTGCATTCATCTACTGCTTGCGAGATAGTTGTGGATTTTTATCTGCATTCAAACTACACTGCATTAGATTAGAGGCGTCAAAATAAAAAAAAGAACACGTCAAGTGCATCAAATAGTTTCTGCATTCATCGACTACTTGCGAGATAGTTTCAAAATTCAAAATATCTTTATTCATGTAGGTCTATTACAGACTCTTATGATATGTCAAATCTACCGTCAGTTCGAAATAATTTCGAGATGAGATGAACTGACAAGAAACTCAGCTCGTATTCTTTTCAAACAATTGTTGTACATGTTTACAACAATACAGATTCATTTTTAAATTCAAATTTGGGAGAATAGAATTACGAATTTTTATCTATGTTCAAACTACACTGCATTTGTTTAGGGACGTCGAAATAAAAAAAGAACATGTCGAGTGCATCAAATAGTTTATTTTCAACTCTCCGTGGAATGCATTCAATACATATTTCATTGCAATTCAAATCGCTCTAACTACAATACACATTTATATACAAACGCTTTACGCAGCACCATACAGTATTACATCTGAGTATATTCGTCTGTTCTGTGACTAATTTCACTACAATTATATCGTATTTTACATTTTAAGAAGTACATAAAAAAATATTATAATATTTCTTTGAGCAACGCTATAGGAATGTTTGTAAAATTATCAATAATAGAGTATCTCTTTGTTTCAGTACATTATTATCAGAAATATTATGTGTATACATAGTTATATTATTATAAAAAACAGTTGAACGCAACGCAGCTTAGTGGTTTGCTATCTTAGCTTAGAAACATAGGTAATGAGTTCAGATCTGACTGATATAAACATAAGTGTGTCAATTTTTATCACTAACTCAAGATATCATTATTCATGTACATAAAAAATACATTTAAAATCAAGTTTCTTGCTCGCTGTTCTTAGCAGAAACTGAATTGTGGATTTGAAATTGAAACTGAAAGCTACAAGATCATAAAATAATCTGATGCATGTAGGTCTATTACAGACTCTTTTGATATATCAAATCTACCGTCAGTTCGTAATGCTTTCGAGCTAAAAACAACTAACAAGAAACTCAGCTCTTATTCTTTTCAAATCTTGTACATAATTACAAACATACAGATTTTTTTTTAAATTCAATTAATGAGAATACAGATAAGAAATATAACTCTCCGGAAAAATCGATAACAAACCAAACCTGTTTATTTTAAACAGGCAGTAGGCCTTTTGCCGCGTTGGATTCAAATATACTGAGCGAATATTGAAATGTGGGCTTGTCAATTGTTTCGTTCAAGATATTAATATTTCACAATGTCTCTAACTAACCCATCAGGGATAACTGTCGTGAAGGTAATTATTATAATTGTGATTAACAGTAACTTAGGATAGAAGTAAAACGAGGGTATTAAACAAGCTACGCTGCACAATGCACCCGAAGATATTACATTTCAAAATGTCAAACAGCACATCAATCAAAATTTCTACTAAATGAAATAAATTATATTCGATTATACAAAAATATAGGTACATATCTCAAGGTCCACTCCATAAATTACGTCATAGATTGAGGCAGAAGGAGGGGGTAGACATAAAATTTGAACTTCCAACTTCATCTCTATAAATATAAGGTTTAAATTATTTCGTTGACAATATTACAATCTGTTTACTAAATTATAAAATTGGAATATTCGTGACGTTATACTAGGGAAGGATGTCTCAATAAGGTGATCAGCTGTCAAGGACGAGGGTGTCAAAAAATATTATAAAATTGTAGTAACTTATGGACGGGCCTTAATGGAATGTTGGAACACCCGGTCGGCTCCATTCACTAATAAAACCAATAACTAAAGCTAAACTATGGCTTACTACACTATACAAAATAATTTATATTTACACACAATTTGTACATAACCATTTACCGGGCGCGTTGTGTCTATAACATTTTACTAGGCGCTACTTAATTTACGTATTTGGATAGACTCTTTATTCATGCAATAACAATTCACAAAACATCTGATTCTGATTGTCTTTTCTACTTATTTTTAAAATCACAATCCGATTTACTGGCCTTAAATTATTCACTGATGTACTATAATGTCTTACACCGGCACTACACGCGTCGCGTGCTGTCACACTTTGGTCGTTAGGTCCAACGGGTGGAGTTTGATTCTCTTTATTTGTGAGTAGGACATGTCTTCTTCTTCGCTAGCAGAGCCGACACCGCTCGCTGACTCGCCATCATCGTTATCAGGAGTTATAATTTCACTGTCATCTGACCTTCTGCGGGCCGAACTTGACCTCCCATCTGATTTGACAGACAGATCCATTGGATTCTCCTGTAGCGGAGATTCAGACGTTCTTCGCTCAGCAGGAGGCGTGGGAACAAATTCAGCTTCTGAGAAGGTATCTTCTTGTGGCGTTGGTTGCGTGGACCTCTGTTGTTTTAGAATTTCGTCCAAGAAGAACCGCTTTGAGGAATCAGCATTATGATCATCGATTCGTACATCGTTGTTGTTTTCTGCCGCCTGCCGCAAGGCTGCGTGGTCAAGCAGATGCCTTGAGTATATTGGATGGAAACCAGGCGGGAACAGCAAGGGGTGGTTGGCAGCGAACGGGCTAAAAGGCGGCGGTGGTAAGAACGGCGAGTGGGGAAAATGGGGCAAGGAAGCTATGTTGGCTAAGGGTAATGGGACAAAGGCGTCTCTGGGCGGCGTTAGCGGTCTATCCGACGGCCGTGACTGCGTGATCCTTGCTTTCTCATCAAGCTTCGGTGAGGATCCGCTTCGGTGCGAGTCAGGGGAGCCTGAGCAGGGTTTGTATTCATCGAGGCCTAATAATGCGAGTTCCTCTTTCGTCCGCGGTCTCGCCAGTCCTGGGAAGAGATGAGGTGGAAATGGCGGCGCTAAGTGATGTGGCGAAGGAGGCACTCGCGGCGGTGACCTTGACTGAGCGGCTTGTTGCTGTTCCTGTAGGAGGCAGTGGATTTTGAACCAGTTGGACCTCCGGCCGTATCTGGACCCGGATTTAGACATGCCCACCATGAGACATTTCCGGAGACGGCATGCTTTGCACGCGGTCCTGTTCTTCTTGTTGATGACGCATTCCCCATTGTTTTTGCATTCAGTGATGGAGTTCAGGTTGTTGTATGAACGGCCGAAGAACGACTGGAAAGAAAAAGAAACAGTATGTTATTGTAAGTTACAAATTAATAATATACGACGAGGTTCTAACGTATTTCATACATAGAAAAAACATTAATTTCTGTATTTTCTGTCGATTTAATAATGTCTCCATATTTTGTTCTAAGCTGTGACTGTGGATGAATTATTTGTTACTCTTTCACGCAAAAATCACTAAATGGATTTTAATGAAACTCGAAAGTTTGGGAGTTCGCGTCTATAATATTACTAGCTACTCGCCCCGGCTTCGCCTGGGTGTACATGTATTATATATATAAACCTTCCTCTCCAAAATACTCTATCTATTAAAAAAAACCGCTTCAAAATCCGTTGTGTAGTATTAAAGATTTCTGCATACATAGGAATGGATAGACAGTGACAGCGACTTTGTTTTATACTACATATGTAATGATTAAGATAGTCTTCGTCATTTAATGTCAAAACCATTTGCTTTGTAAGGTGAGCTGTAAATAGATTTATATATAGCATTCAAAGGGTAACACAAATCCATATTAGATAGTGACTTAATTGTATGAGAATTAATTAAACATGTCATGTAGAGTTAATGAAATAGAGTTAATGTTCATGTAAATGGAGTTAACAGTGAGGCACGTGACGCGGCGTACAAAGGCACAGAAAGTGATCCACGGCGTCGGGTCGCATGAGAAATCCTCCCTAATTAGATACAGGTATATTGATCTTTGCTAATTAGCTCTGCCTTGCGTTTATTCTTAACGGTTACTCGTCTGACTCATAATAATGTTACTATTTACTATTCATGTTTAAAAATTAATTTTATTTCAATTAAAATGTTAATCGCTGGAAGGCTGGAAGGCAGCGCAGGACCGATCGTCGTGAAAGTCTTTGGGGGAGGCCTTTGTTCAGTGGACGTCTGCCAGAGATGATGCTGATGATGAACATGTTAATCGGTAAATCGGTCGCGGGTTCGATTCCTCGCACGGCACAGATAAGAGTTAATTGCAAGTAAGGGGTTTCTTCTTTCAGATATTGAACAAAATCTTTCTCTGGAGATCTGATCTATTTCATCAATTTTCGTTACCAGTACAGTGCATTTAACTCTGACCTAAAGCAACGTTTACACGGCCCGCTACCCACCGTCGGGCCGCTTGGGTTCGAGAGTGAAAACTACGTCTTACATCGCGTTCACGGGTCAAGACGTCACTTCCGCCCGATATAGGCCACAGGTTCGGTTCCGGTCTGTTACTCGCGTTTACGTACAGTTTTGTTTTCTAACGTCCTTCGAATTTCGTTAACATAATTTACGTAAACATCGACTATTGTTAACCTTTTGTGGATTGAGGTGATAACTACGGTTTGTAAGAGCTGTAATCATATTGAATGAATGACTTGTAATTAGATTACATAGAACTTAATATAAAAAAAATCCACATTACTAACAAATCGTATAAACAGAGAACATATGATTTTTATGTTCATAATGATCTATTATTTCAAATATATTTAACTTAAAAACTAATGGAATAATGAATTGTAATAATGGACCAAAGATATTTTTTAATTTAATGTAATAAAGTATTTATAGCGACTTTGTTTTACACTACGTAATAGAGATGTGCTAACTCGTAATAAACATAACTCGAGTTGACTCGAGTTATCTGTAATAAACAGTTTTTATTTTGTTTTTTTTTTTAATTTTTCGAACAAATCTAATGTTTTTGGCCGCAGCTAGCCTTGAAAGCTTCACCGAACCATAGGGGCGAGTAGAAATGGCACTTCAAAGCCGCGGAAGGACTTATAGAACGCATAATCATTTTAATGATAGAATAACCAGACGAGTATGCGAAAAAAAAATGATAACGACCTCAAATAAATATTGAAACATTTGTGACGAGTGACAATTGTATGATATGAAATGATCGGAAAATTTCATGTCATTATCAGTTCGATGACAGAATCATGCTCTCGCTCTTTCACTTGATTCGTTCATTTACCAGTTGAATACTTCCAACTCGAGTTGGCAGAATTCAACTCGAGTTAACTCGAATTCACCGCAACTCGAGTTATCGAGTTGACAGATCTCTACTACGTAATGATAGATGTCGTGTTCTCGCTCCTGTCCCAGTAATAATTAAATGGTTAAATGAATTTGATGGTAAATGGTAACTGTCACCTATAAACATGAGCTGCATCTACATTAGTGATTTGAAAAGTAAAAAATAGATGCATGTATAAATGGTACTAAAATCCAAGGTAGCTTGGTTGCATCTTGACACATGTTAAACAGTGTCAATATGATTGGCAACCGACTCGCTGTCTGAATTTTAAACAGACGGACAAAAACACAGTAAAATGTCCAACAGATTAATGACATCGACATTGTTAAATTATTTGAAATTTGAATTCAAATTTGGATATTAATAATAAAAATAGTAATCTCAGAACAATTCACAAAGCGCCATCTAGGTTCTAGTTAAGCTAGCTTGTGTTATGGGTACTAGACAACTGATACAAATACACAGATTTTTTTTCATAAATACATACATATTATACATAGAAAACACCCAAACCGAAACAAACAATCATAGTCATGAATACAAATGTTTGTGCCGTGCGAGGAATCGAACCCGTGACCATCGGAAGTAAAGCGGTATGCTAAACTGCTAGACCACCGAGGCCGTCCATTATTAAATTCATTATTGGCGTTAATTTAAGTAACATTTTATCCATGAGTTTGCATTAGACTATGAATACATCATAGAAGTCAAAGCAATTTTAACAATCAAAGTAACATTGTTATGACGATCAGTGATAATATGACAATAAAATTGCGTTTATATAATAGTAATATTGATAACAGATAACAAAACCTAATCATCATTACATAGTATAAAACAAAGTCACTATCGCTGTCCGTCCGTCCCTATGTATGCTTAAATCTTTAAAACTAAGTAAAGGATTTTGAAGCGGTTTTTTTAATAGATAGAGTGATTCAAGAGCAAGGTTTATATGTATAATACATGTACACCCGGGCGAAGCCGGGGCGAGTAGCTAGTAACATAATAATAACCAAAATTATATACGTATATGTATTTGTTAGTGCGTGAGTGTATGTGATTATGTGTGTATGTAAGAATAAAATGAAAATGAAACTTTTAATTCTGTTAATATTTTGGTTTCCGAATAAAATGAATAAAAATACAGTCAGCTTGTTTCTAATCTAAATATATATAACTCAAAGGTGACTGACATAGTGATCTATCAACGCACAGCCCAAACCACTGGACGGATCGGGCTGAAATTTGGCATGCAGGTAGTTGTTATGACGTAGGCATCCGCTAAGAAAGGATTTTGCTTAATTCTACCCCCAAGAGGAATTAAATAGGGGATAAAAGCTTGTATGAAACTTTGTCAATTTTAAACCGATCGGGCTGAGACTTTGCATGCATAAACTTACTATGACGTAAACATCCCCTAAGAAAGGATTTTGATAAATTCCATTTAATAATGGGATAAATTAACGCGAGCGATGCCGCAGGCAAAAGCTAATTCTGATTATAAATTTCTGTCTTTTATATATATGTTAATTAATTTCTTTTTTTTTAGAACTATCGAACTATCTATTCGAAAGGTAGTATATATACAACTACAATTAGAATGACTGTTCTAACTACATACAACCTCATCTAACAATATAACACGTGTTGCCATGTATCTTGCCAAAATGATTGGCAACCGGTACATCGGCTGAATAATAATCGCAACGAGCAATGATCGCGTCATACACCAAGAATTTAAACTGAAACAATACCATCTAAAAGCGATCCGGCCGTGATGAGCATTAATTTTGTATTTTTGGTTAGTGAATGTGGAAATACCATTGTTGTTTTGACTCGTTTTGTATTTATTTTTTTATACTTTCTGATCAGTCATATGCATCGATTTCGATTGTCGTTCATAACTTTGTGGTTTTTAATAACAGTATTAACCTGGCTCATCCGTCATACTCGTGGACGGGTGCTGTTTGTGGCGACTGGTCTGTTCAGGTTACGAACACTGATTAGACTTTTTGCCTATGCTGGTGGTCACTCTATTCTCCCAAATATGAATTTAAATGAATCTGTATTATTGTACATATGTACAACATTTATTTAAAAGAATGTTTGTTTACATGAATAAAGATATTTTGAATTTGGAATATGTAGCTTATATCATTATGGAATCATGTATCCTTTAAAAGTGAATCTTTTTTCATTGGAGCAAATACTTTTCGATCATTCTGTATCTTCGCTTATATCTTTTAAACCACGCAACGGATTTTAATACAGTTTTTAGTACCGTACTCTATATATATACACTACTTATATTTATAATATACTAGCTGTGGCCGCGGCTTACCCGCATACTATTATTAGCCTATATGTTAGGCTGATGTATAAGCTATATTACTGTAATGTTTCATCAAAATCCGTTCAGTACTTTTTGCGTGAAAGAATAACAAACATCCATCCATACTAACAAACTTTCGCATTTATAATATTAATAATAAGATTTAAAAGGAATGTTTATACGTAAAATACATATACAACCATGCGAAGCCGGGTGCAGTAGCTAGCTCAACATAAAGTATAAACATGTTGACCAATTAATCCAAAGATTTATCGCGTATTCCCTGTAGACATGGATAATTTAAACATCATCGTTGTATTCGTATTTCGAACTGGCAAGTTGATCTCGATAAAATTCAGTTGGCTAATTGATGCCAACCTGCCAATAGTTCGGGAGATGTCGTAATTAATCGGCGCGATACGTCGGGTGCACGCAACCACGTGTATCAAATTCAAATTCAAATTAAGAAATCATTTATTCATGTAGGACATTTTAGCCGCTCATGAACGTCAAATTTTTATCTTATAATTCTTTCCCTACCGTCCAGTTCAGTATTACATTTTATTGAGAAGAATTGGCAAGAAACTCAATTGATTACTTTTTTTTAAAGCCAGTTT